ACGCACGCACGCACGCACACACACACACACACGCACACACAGACACATACACACACACACACACACACACACACACACACACACACACACACACACACACACACACACACATGCACGCACCTAAAGAGGGCGAAGGAAGAAGAGGGAGTGAACAACGGACCACACGAGCAAGAAAGGACCCAAAGAAAAAACCTCGTTTTCCATCACAATGAGCCCATCAACGGAACAACAGACGTCCGAGCAGGGCGTGCGGAAGGTGCAACCCCTGCATCGTGTCCCTTCCCTCTTGACGTGACTTGCCCTTTCCTTTCTTTCAAGTTTTTCCTTTTTTCTTTTTCTTTTCTTTTTTCTTCCCCCTTTTTTTTGTAGGGGGGGTTCCCCCTAGGTTACCAGCCCGGACGTCTGGGACCCTTTTCTATCCTGGGTTGTTTGATCGGACGACTCCTCCAGTTGGTCGAGCGGGCCCCAGTGTCTGGTGTGGTGGAAAAATCACATCTGGGTCCGACGGGGTTTCGGCCCAGAGGTGATGTTTTTTGGGGTTCGTAGTAGCTCGCCTCCGTCTGCCTGATTTTAGTGAGGCTGATAAGGCCTCCGAAAGCGAGACCGAAAAACGCCTTGTATGGGTCGTTAGATCTAAGAGATTTACGACCCAGATCAAGCCACATTCAAATTCGAAATAAGCGTTCGAACTCCGTCTGCCAGCGCATGAGTTCGGCACGTCGTAGCAGTTGGGTAATGCCGACAGCCATAACCCACCACGTGCTCCAACCCCGTTGCAGGTGCGTACCCTCCTCCTTCCTCCTCCTCCATGTCTCTCTCGTCACTCACCGCCTCCTCCTCCTTTCCCTCCTCTTCCTCCTCCCCCTCCTCCTCTTTCTATCGACTTCCTTCCGCTCCCCCTCCTCCTCCTTCTTCTTATCTTCTTCCTCCTGCTCTTCCTCCACGTCCTCCTCCTCCTCGTCGTCCATCGTCGACATCCTCCTCCTCCTCCTCCTCCTTCTCTTCGTGTTCTTCTTCCTCATTCTCCTTCTCGTCGTTATCCTCCTCTTCATCCTTCTCTTCTTCTTCCTCGTCCTCCGCCGCCTCCTCTACTTCTTCTTTGCCATCCTCCTCCTCCTCCTCCTCCTCCTCCTCCTCCTCCTCCTCTTCCTGCTCTTCTTTTTCCTCCTCCTTCTCCTCATCATCATCATCATCCTTCTCCCCCTTATCCTCCTCCTCCTCGTCATCCTCCTCCTCCTTCTCGTGTTCTTCCTCATCATCCAAGTCGTCGTCCTCGTCGTCGTCGCCCTCCTCCCCAACCTTCTCATCCTCCTCTTCTACATCCCGTCCGCGGCGGTGTCGCTATCCCTACCCGCCCAAGTCCCCACACCACCTTCCCGCCATCGTCTTGTACTTGGTCGTGTATATTCCCCTCCCTCCCTCAACCAACCAACCAACCAACCAACCAACCATCGATCCAATCAATGGATTGGATTGCATTTTGAGAATCCAATAAATTTTCGAGATCCAATCCAATCCATTGATTGTATCGAATGTTGATTGATTGATTGATTGATTAATTGATTGATTGAAAAAAAAATGCATTAAAAAGAGGGCAGGCGGACAATACCAAGTCCGGCATTCTCCTCACTCCTCCTCCTCCTCCCTTACTTCTTCTCCCTCCTCCTCCTCCTGCTCGTCCATAGTTTGCGTCCATCATCGAGGCCCGCTCTTTCTCTCTTTCCTCCTCAGCCGCCGCTTCCTGTTCTTCTTCATCGTCGTCACCATCCTTCTCCTCCTCGCAGTATTTTTCTCCTTCTTCCTCCTCCTCCTCCTCGTCCAGTAGTCTTTTCTTCTTCCTCTTCCTCCTACTCCTCCGCCTCCTCTTCCTCCTCCTCCTCCTCCTCGTCCATCGTCTCGCCATGATCGTCGTCGCCATCCTTCTCCTCCTCCCTGTTATCTTGTTTTTCTTCTTCCTCCTCCTCCTCCTCTTGCTCCAATTCTTCTTCATTCTCCTCCACCTCCTCTTCCTCCTTCTCCTCATCCGTCCGCGGCGGTGTCGCCATCCCTACCCGCCCAAGTCCCCACATCACCTTCTCACCATTGTTCTGTACGTCGTCGTTTATACTCCCCTCCCCATTTTTTTTTTCTTCAGTCAATCAATCAATCAATTAATCAATCAATCAATCAATCAATCAATCAATCAATCAATCAATCAATCAATCAATCAATCAACATTTGATCCAATGAATGGATTGGATTGGATCTTGAAAATCCAATACATTTTTAAGATTCAATCCTATCCATTGATTTGATCGAATGTTGATTGATTGATTGATTGATTGATTGATTGATTGATTGATTGATTGATTGATTGATTGATTGATTGATTGATTGGTTGGTTGATTGACTGATTGATTGATCGACTGATTGATTGATTGCTTGATTGATTGAAGAAAAAAAAAATGAGGGCGGGAAGATGGAACCAGGTCCGACCCTCATCTTCTCCCTCCTCCTTCTTCTCCCTTCTCCTCCTTTACTTTTTCGCCCTCCTCCTCGTCCTCCTCCTCCATCGCCGCGCCATGATCGTAGTCGTCATGTGTGTGTGTGTGTGTGTGTGGATAGAGTTTGTGCGCGTGTGCACGTGTGTGTGTATGTGTGTGTCTATGTGTGTGTGGATGCATGTGCGGAAACTAGACTGTGTGTGTACACTTTGCATAGTGTGTGTGTGGTGTGTGTGTAGATACTGTGTGTGTGTGTGTGTAGATACTAGAGAGTGTGTGCAGAGAGTGTCTGTGTAGTTTCACCCCCGTGCCCATCCCAGACACCATTTTTAACAGTCATTTCGTCAAAACGGACATATTATATTTTTTGAACGAAATTATAATTGAGTTTTTAAGCCGAAATCTGGTGCAAAGTTTTGGCTCCTAGGGTTCCGGCGAACGCCGGAACCCCTAGATGTATGTGATTGCAGCTTGAGACTAGATACATCTAAGGGGTCCAGCGTCCTAGGAACGTCGGACCCCAAGGAGCCAAAATTTTTGACCGGACTTTGTCTCAAGAACTCAATTTTAACTTCGTTTAAATAAAATAATATGTCCGTTTTGATGAAATGGTTGTTTTTTATCTTTTTTTGCTCCCAATGGCCTCAAAACATTTTGCGGGTGTCCCCTAGTGGAGTGGAGACCCTCCTCCTTTATTTATTTTTTTTGCTTTCCATATTAAAAAAAAAAAAAGTTGTCCAGGATCCCGGACAACTCCACGTAGGATGTCATGTGAGGACAACCAGCCATCAAACAACTTGTAGCCTAGTTTTTTTTTGTTTTTTTCGTTTGTTCTTCCTTTTTTTCCTCATTTTTTTTCTTTTTCTCTTTTCTACTATTGTTTTTTTCTTCTTTTTTTTTCTTTTTTTTCTTCTTTTTTTTCCTTTTTTTTTTTTTCTTCCATATTTTCCTCCATTTTTTTCGGTTCTTTGTCGATCAACGGAAATATTTCCCATAATTAAAGAATCATTCTACATTAAAATTACAATCTAAATTTTAAATTTTCATTCCATCTTAAAAAATGTCATTCTAATTTTAAAATTTTTCATCTTACTTGCAAACTTTCATTCCAAGAATAGGGTATCCCTTCTTATTTTGACTGCATGTTGGAGATGGAATGAAAGTCTGGATGAGTTCATGAAATATTTTAATTGGACTGTCATTCTAAGTAAGTATTTTCAGTCATAAATAGGTTAATCCAATCTAAATTATAAGATATTTATTGTAGTAGAATGAAAATTCAATTAAAACATTTCATAAACTCGTTCACACTTTCATTCCATCTTGAACATATAGATGAAGTTGGAAGGGAAAACTCATATTTAGACGAGAATTTATCAAATAAAATTGGAAATCTCAAATTTCAGAATTGGACGAACATCGGAATGACAATTTAAGAATATGAATGATTTTTTTTTATGGAATGTTTTTTCAACTTTCATTTCTCGTGAGAATTTTTTTGTCGATCCCCTTGCCCACCTTGTCCCAAAATAGAGAATTACTTTTTGCATCCAGAAAAGGGCGGCAACCACACAACCCCAAATGTACAAGGTGGTACCTTCGAGCGAAAGTCGCACACATGTAGTACTAAAACTCTCATGTTTTCATTCTCTCTTTCTGTTTTTTTTTTTCCTTTTTTTTTTTTTTTCCCCTTCTCGATCTTTTGTTTTTTTTTTTACACAAGTGACCCTCTGCCTAACGCCTCTAAAAGAAACCCACTAAGTGTGGACCGAAATTCCTCTTCATGAAAAATGACGGTGGAATGTGTCTCATCTCTCGAATAAAAGAAGAGAACAGTAACGATTAAACCAGTGAAATGGTAGGTTCATTTTTTTAAGCAAATGAGTGTTGTGCGTGAATTTGTGACGACGACGTGCGATCTACAGCAAGGTGGAGACGACGGGCAGCTGAAGTTCTTTGGCTGGTGGAAATTGAGGTTGATCTCGATGTTCTTAAGGAACGAGATGACGGGGAAGAAGTGATGTAATCCCCTATTCCTGAGTCGCGTCACTACTAGCGGAAGCATCACACTCATATAAACAGCTCGCTCAGCAGTTAACTGCAACAACAACGACGCTGCAGCTCACGCTATGACTATTTGCACCGCAGCAGCAAATGCACCAGCGCTCTCCTCTCTACTTTTGGGTTTCTACCTCATTGCACTCCTCCTCCCGACTCTCATTCCCAATGCTATGATCGTAGTTGCCGCCATTTGGCTAAGAAAGGAAGAGTGGATCTCGCCTCAGCCAGTGGAACTATCTTGCACGATCTTCACTTTTGCCATACTCTTCTCTGCACTAGCACTAACTCTTGCACTTTGTTATATCACAACTTGAGTGGGCATTGTCTTTGTCGCAACTGAAGTCGCGCTTAAGCAATGAAAGAGGGAGAAGGACGTGCGGCTTCAGAATGGGCAGCGTGTAATCTTATCATTTCCCTAGCTTTCCTAGCATATCTAGCCTTTTTGCTCTTCGTCCTAACCATACCTCCCGACGGCTCCCCCTTCTCCTGCTTCATCTCCCCCCCACCTGTCGTTTCCTTCCAAAGACCATTGAAAAATTCCACTCTGATGAAGCTCCAGGTGGTCGAAACAGAAAATCGCTTCAGGGACGGACCACTCCTTTTCCGTTGATCGGTCAGTTGTGCTCGTGGTGCAAATTGTACCGAAAAAGGGTGACTGGAGGTGTATGACGTGATACGAGAATATCTTCTTCTCTTTCTCTCCCTCTCTGCTCTCTAAGTCTCGCTATTTTTTTGGGTGGAAGAGGTGACAGTTGGAGTATTTTGTTTTTTAGAATCCAAGTGAGCAATTTCGTGTGGCTTTTCTTAAATCTCTGTGTACGCAGTGAATGATTCCCAAGCAACTCTCTCACTTGTTTGTGGATGCATCTCTCTTTCCTGCCGTCTGAAAACCGATGAACGTAAAAAAGTTGCAATCCATCGATGTCGCACTTATTTACGCTTTCCGACGATAGCTAGGAACGTAGCGACGAACCTAAATCGGTAAACATAAATATTAGCAATCGACTATATAAGTCGTCCATATTTACGTATATCAAAGAAGGATCTCAATCAAATATCAGGCCTCTTACGACATTTGTTCATCTCACCCAATATGTGATCTTAGTAAACTATTGTGGAAATAAAAAATCTAGCTGATAAGTTCATATATTTAAGTACGTAGTAAGTGATATCTTTGTATGGGTTGTTCCTCTTTTGCATGATCTTCTTCGCTTCTTTTTTACCCTACAAGAGAGTAAAACGGGTTGTTCCAAGCCGGGGTAGGGGTTTCACCCCTGGAACCCTACCGAGGGACTACCCGACCCCCTCCTTCCACCCCGGCCAAAACACTCCGTCCCGAGCCTCGCGCCCTGCACCCCCGCCCCCACCAGCACTCAACCTCGCCCCTGCCGACTGTTGGCCCCGCCCCCGGGCCCTGCAACGGCAGCTACCCCGGTCCCACCAGTGGTGGGTGTGGCCCCGAGGGAGGTCCGGGGTGGGGCACAAAGCCCCATTTTTGGGGTTTAGCTCACAGGGTGTGCACTCTCGATGTGCACCCCTCACTAAGTTTTTTTTTTTTTTTTTTTCCCGGGAAGGGGGAAGGTCTAGAGCCGGGGTCGGGGGTGCCCACCCCCGGACCCCCGCACCCCCGCACCCCCCTCGGGCTCGACAACCCTGGACCATATGTAATTTATGAATACACAATGAAATGACTGTCGAAACACACACAATTTTTTCATACACTTTTTTCTGCCTTTTTTCTGTTGTGCTTTCTTTCGTTATCCTTTTCGCTCTCAATAAACTATATTCTTATGAGATGATAGAACAGATCACTACCATCGCAACAACTCTGTTTTTTCCAACACAAACCAAAACAGACATTCTAAAAGTCAAGAAAATGATCGTACATACTTACGCTTTTTTAGGTATATATATAATATATATATTAATCAAGCACCCAACATCTTATGATGATAATATAGCAAACTATACTCAAGGCAACCCACTTATGACCTAGGAAAATTCGAAGTAAGAAAAACTAGTCATCTCTCTTTCTCTGATCCCCTAACCTCTACTATTTAGATCATGAAGAGTTGGAAACCACCTCTCATAGATAAGCATGATTCTTATTTTTATCTACATCTTTTCATCTAACGAACAGTGTGACATATATAGATTAATTGACGAAAACCACTGAACGGCACCCCTATGTATTTCCTTTCTCTCCGAAAAAGTAATTGAATGATGGCAACACACCGCACATATAAATGTATAGATTACTTGAAGATATAGATATACATGCAATTTTTACCATCATCAACAAAGGCCCAAAGGGTCTCAGACGAATTAATTTGGCAACCCCCTTGGTATCTAAATTTAGCCCGTGGGAGGACGCGAAAAATCTCTCTAGACTACCATATATTCTGCAATATAGACACGTTAGTTAGTAACATCCAAGGTGGAATTCACCAGTAATTCTAAGACAATCTCTTGCAGATAATCTC